AATGCGCCTGTCCTTGGGCGAGGATGAGCTGATCTTCCTCTCCGTGCTGGACGCGAATAGTCAGGTCCTGGAGTCGGGCTGCTTCGTCGTGGACCAGGCGTGCTATGAGAACGGCTACGCGATGGTCTCCCTCCCAGAGGGAAACTACGTGATTCGCGTGCTCCTGGAAATGTAAGGTGATCGGGAAAACGCGCGCGCACGCAGGGGAGGGAGCGGTTGATTGATCCTCGCTTCAGCTCACCATTCAGCGTGTTGCCTTTTTCTTTTTTATTATTTCCTATGTAGTGATATTAGTAATCCTTTTTATGTACATTTTTTCTTTTAATATTGCGATTATATCATACCATCACTGTTTTTTTTTACTTTACTTGCGTCGATGTTTTTATACCCAAAACGAACATAGCGCGCCGATAGGACTCTTCGTACTTGTGACAAGGTTCTTTAATTACTCTTAAAAGAATAAAACGGTATAACTTCCAGATTAAATTTCTATTCATTTTAAGCGTGCTCCTTCCAATATAGTTCTTTTTATTATTGTTGTAAGTTACTCTCGCCACAAAATCCGTTTTTTTTCCTTTTCATATTTTCCTTTTCAGGTTTTTGGCAGAAACCTTTTCCTAGTTGTATTCCTTTATTGTCACCAAAAAGAGGCGCGCGAAGGATCTAAACGGGGTATGAGCTCAACCGATCCAAGATTTCCTGAGCAAATAGCAGAGGCCATCCTGCAGGATATCGACCCTCGTTTAACCATTAGTGAAGAGGGAAGCTCTACGTTTCACGAATTCTTCTCGTTCTTGTTGCGGACCTTCGAAGAGCATGGATCCCATGCCGCCGCCGGCTTTCATGAAGCCTCCATCCAAACTTCTTGTTCTAAGCTTAGTGATTGATCACCCAAAGAGCGTTCAGTACTTTTAGCAATCCTCGCAGTTTCATTTTATCGACCAAAGGAGAACGAAGATAGAGTATTTTTTCTCAAAATAATCTCACGAACATTTATCGTGGTATCACGGTCCTTTACTTCAAGAATCGCCTGTCGTTTCCATTGATAACGATACCCTTTTCTGCGGTGTATAGCTTGCGAAGCCGGAGAGCACGCATTTTCGGGAAACTTCTATTGGGATCGCCGCCGGGAGGTCGGATAGCGCTATCGCCTCCTGCTATTACATCGCCCGGAGGTTTGCGCTTCACGCGGCGATGGCTTCCAGCGGGACCCGAGAGAGTTCTGCCCCGAACTCGGGATCCTCGGTTTCTGACCTGCCAGCGGCTTTCCAACGAGTTCGACCAAACCCTCTTCAACTCCTTTTCACCGGGTGTGGGCCCTGCGTGGAAGCGCTTATCCCTGCCGAGCACCCGCGCGTGGATTCACTGTTTTCTGACGATATCTGCGATGGGGGAGGGGGTGAGGACGTTCGGCTTACGCGATGATGGCAATATTGACCCGATCTGGGCCTTCATCCTCGCCCGTCGGCGTGATGGTGTAATCAAAGTTCTACACCAGATCACCGTATGGGTGACTGCCCTCCTAGAGTTGAAGGCGGCAAAGCTTCAGCAAACGGTGAAAGCGCCGTTGCTCTCCCTTACAGAGGCTCTTTTTGCACACTAAAAGGCAAAAAAAAACGGCGAGATCTCATGGCGTCAACGTGGTGCCTCCGAAATGCCTTTTTGTTGATATTCCCTGAAGTTCATTTGTTTTGGGTCTGATGGAGTTCCAGTCCGCTTCATTGTTTCTGCTTTCCATGATGTGTTGGGGAGAGGAGTTCGTGAGGCTGTGGGATGAAGGCTGCACAAACCAAAGCTGGCGCCTGGCTAAAGCGTTTTCGAGGCGCACACTGTGGAAATTAAGTGAGGCTAATGATATCGTACATCCACGCGAAGCGTTCCAGGATTTTTTCGATTTTGTCTTTTTTTAACGAAACATTTGGTTTTAATCGAGTGATTTTTCCTCCTTTCCCTTTCCCTTTCCCTTTCCCTTCCCCCTCGTCAGATTGCCTTTCTCATATATAAATATATATATTGTAAATATTAAATATGGCAATAAAACGGTGTTGACGGAACTTCCGTGGTTCTTTAATTTGAGGTTCATTTTTTATGATAAAAGATGTATCATTGCCAAAGAAAGGAAAAATGAAAACCTACTCTTTTTTCTCCTTATTTTCTCCTCGAATGGATATACACCAACTGTATATCATGGTCGAAAAGGGCCCCGTGTAATTACTACATTTTTAACCTCAAAATAGAGGATAGTTCCCGTGAATGGACACTTTGAGAAGAATGGAAGAGGGGGTTCTGCAGGTAGTGAGGTGCATTAAGGATGGCAATCACGCCACCCTCGATGAAGCGATGCGCGCTTTGCGGTGCGCAGTCGATCTTGAAGGGATTTTTAGCATCCTCCGCACCGATCCTGCCTTTCTCGACGCCGCTTACATTCACTTTGTAGGGTTTAAGCTGCTAAGCTATCAGCTGATCTGCAATCCTGCGCTCCGCTTCGCTCGAAAAGGGGAGGTCCATCAATTTCTGATGGAGTACGCGGATTCCCTGCTCGTCAAGCAGGTCGGATATCCCGCGTGGAAGCCCGTGGTTTCGGAGTTTTGCTCGAGTTTTGCCATTCTTTTAAAGTTTCGCTGCATTACGCCGCCTAAAGGGGTCGACATCGGGGAGTTGCGAAATGTGGTTCAGGATTTAGGCTCCTTCGCGTCTGCCGCGCATTCGTCCCCTGCCTTTGTTTATCTTTGTCGGTTGTTGGTGCAGCGCACGGTGGAGGAGTTTGGTGTTTTCGACCCAATTTCGCGCTGCCGAGGCTTGCCTCCCGAGCCGCATCGTCGTTTACGCGCATTATTTAATACCGAGGGGTTTCTTCCCCTTTTGGCTAAAACCATCCTGTCAGGGATGCTGAACTCGCCCTGCGAGAGCGAGTTGTCAGCAGAGGCAGGCTTGCGTTGTTTAATTAGTTGTTTTTCCTGGCATTTGCATGCGTTTTTTGAGGAGGAATCCCCTTCCGATGAGTCGTGCGAGATCTTCGAGGTGACGCATCCCGTGTGGAATGAATTACTGCTCCTCACGAACTTCCCGAGTTGGGATTTGCAGGGCGATCAAGGGAGCTTGTTTGATTTGCTTCGAGTTTTGTTCGAACAAGGCACTTTACGCGGGACCCCGGTTCGGCGGCGGGGTCTTGTTGAGCTTGCGCAGCTCCTTTGCTCTTTTAGCAATCCCGAGTGGGCCTCCGAGGAGTCCATGCGCTTCGTGGGGCGGTGTTTTCATCTTTCCATCCACATGATCGAGACGATTATC